TCCTTATTTATAAAAAAGTGGATAGGATATAATTGTATTCTATCTATCTTACAAGGTTGTAGCAAGGGTTAAAAGGATAACTTAGGTGATGATACACAATTTAAATATATAATTAGATGTAATATTTATATATTTATAATTAAAAATTACACCTTAATTTTATAATTTATATTGAAATAGTTTTACATAATTTTGATTTAAAATTCATATATATTTAGACATTACATAACAGTATATAATATGTAAATAAGATTTTACATATGCTATGTATATTTCAGATATATCTGAAATGCTTAGAGCATCACCAAGTAAACTACCAAATAAGTAAATAGCACAGTGGTTGCTTCAGGGCTGTGGCAAGAAGGATCACTGGTTTGTGTGAGAGTGATAGCCCCAGAGAGAGGGAGGAAAAATCTGCATTCGAGCACCCTTGAGAGGCTGCGTAAAAGGGAGGGAGGTAGGCTTGTTGGTGTGTGGACAGCCCAGGAAAGGCTTGGCCAGGGTGGGGTGTGTGTGTGTGTGTGTGTGTGTGTGTGTGGCTAGCAGAGGGGCAAACTTGGGAGTGTGGCACAAGTGTGTACTGAGCTCCCCCCAGGGGTGTGCAGGCCGGTGGGGGGTGGGGGGCTATGGGATCCAGAATGAGGGGCAGCTGAAGATGCCTTTTCAACTCACAGGTGGGCCGCAGGGTGGAAAGGTGGACAGGAGGTGGTGTCCGCAGGAATGACAGGAAGCTGAGGAGTGAGTCAGCGGAATGTTTTCTGGGAGGAGAAGACAGAAAGGGGGCATGGGCTGGAGGGAGTGTGGGGCTGGTTTTTGCTATGGGGGTTAAATCCAAGACCTTTCCACAGAGCTCCATGCCCACCCTATTTGTTTATTTGTTTGTTTATGTATAAACAGGGTTTTGCTAAATTGCTACACTGCTCAGGTTGAACTCAAACTTGTGCTCCTCAGGCTTGAGCTTTTCAGAGTCCTGGGATTGCAAGCATGCGCCACCACACGAGGATAGTGTTTTTGTTTCATAAAGTGGGGTGATTCTGCTAATGGCAAAGTTTGTTTTCTGCTAATGGCAAAGCTGGAGGAGCCTGGGTATGTGCCTGGCGATGCTTGTTAGAGAAGACACTGAGACTGGGGTCTAGAACACAGGTCTGTAGGCGTGTCTGTATGTGTGTCCGTGTACATCTGGTTGTGTGCACAGGTTCATGAGTGTGTATGTGTGTTTGTGTCCATCTATTGGTGTCTGGGTATGTCTCGTGTGTGTTGATGCCTGATTTGCATGCACTTGTGTGTGTTGTGGGTGAGGTCAGAGAAGGCCTGGCATCTGTCCTGGAAAGTGGAGGACACTCCCCAGTAGGTGATGCTGCCCATTTCTTAGGCCCATGTTGGGGGAGGGGCACTGGGAAGCTCTGTAGTAGGATAAGAGGTCCCTGGGACTTGGTTGGTTCAGGAGTAACTTCCGGGGTCTGCCCAGAAACACTGGAGAGGCCAGAGGCCAGCGCCCATGGTAGGGTGGCTGGGAATGCAGCCTCTTTTAGGCCTGCAGATGCTCCATCCGCCTAGAGTGTTGCCGCCACATCGTGGCAGAGTCAGGGATTTCCCGGTCCTGCTCAGGAGCAAGGACTCAGCTCCACCTGGTGGTCGCGCACGGTCTCTGCGCCTGTGGTGACCAGGTGCACGGAGCCGAGTTGGGTGGGCGGGCACAAGAGCTAGGGGCGTAGCCGCACCACTCTGCGTGGAACTCGAGCTCTAGCTGCAACTCCTGAACTCTGTCCAGGCCTCAGTTCTGTGCCTCAGTGTCCTTATGTGTAAAGCAGTGTGAGGCACGTACGGCCAAGGTTTCTGGGAGAGGGGTATTAAGCAATGCACTGAAAAAAATAAATGGGGGCCGGGGAGATAGCTCAGTAGAATACATGCTTGCTTGGCAAGCTCAAGGGCCTGAATTCGATACCCGATTCCTAAAAAAAAAAAATTTAAAAAAAAAAAAATGCCCCGAGGGCGGGCCTCGCAGCCACATGCTTTGGTTCTGGGAGTGTGGCAGGGCCGCAGAGGCCCCGACTTTGGGAGAGGCTCACCTCTGCGCCCCCCACCCCCATCTTCAATTCCTCCAGCTTGCTCTCCTTACCCTCCTCTTCCCGAGGGTAGGGAAGGAGAGGGAGTGGCCTCGGCCCAGCTCAGCCCCCAGTCCCTCTTGCGGTTCCCTCACAGCCTTTTTCGAAAAGACTGGGCAATGTGAAGGAAACTCAGGGAGCCGCGCGAATGGGGGCCAGGGCCCCAGAGCGCCTGGCCTGATCAGCAGCCGGCTCGTGCACTGTCCTCTCCCCACACCTAGGGGGCGCCTGCTTGCTCCCGATCCCGGGGCCTACTCACAGGTCCACCTGTTAGGGTCTCCCAGCCAGTGTTTTCCCACTCAAGGCCCTCGGGGCTCTAAGGCTTCAGGAAAGACCCTAGGCTTTAGGACGTCTGTTCTCTCCATCCATCAGAGAGCAGGACCCACACACAGGAAGATTGCTGCCATTCAAGGACAAAGGCTGGTAGGAACTTCAATTCGGATTACCCTAGAGAGGCCCAATTGATGGGTGAGGGGGTTTACATGGGGTTTAGGTAGTTATTCTTTTTGTTTTTTTTAAGACAGGGTTAGTGTATGTAGTCCAGGCTGGTTTTGAACTCACTTTGTACCCCAGGCTGGCCTCCTGAGGGCTGGGATTATAGGTGTGTGCCACCACATGCAGCCATTGTAAGCAGTTATTCTAAACTGATGGACCTACTTGACCCCTGGAACCTGCCAGGGGCCCTGTCTTAATTCCTTAATCCAATGGTCCCTCCAGTTTATACCTGCAGCACGGTAAGCAAATGGCACAGGGCAGAGCAGGGGAAAATGAAGGGCGGGGTATGGGCCAGTGACACACTAGACAGCCCCAGAGGGGAGGGAGGAACTAGGCTGTCCATAGTCCCACCCCAGTCATAAGTATATGGGCTCATACATGTATCTATACCTGTCACAGGGACCCTTGTATAGACACACACACACACATACACACACACACACACACACAATGTTTTCTCACATCTACCCAGCCCCAAGCCCAGTCCTCCTCCCCAACCCCAGACACACACACACACACACACACACACACACACACACACACAGGCATATGTGTGCACACAGGTGTGCTTCCTTGTGTTGGGGTCAGTTTGCCTCCCTAATACCTATAAGGCTTCAGCTGGCCTTGGGGCTAGGAGCTGCATCTGGCACTTCCCCAGTGAATTCCAGAGGTGGCTTCAGGGCTGGGGCTCTGGCCTTCATGCAGAGGTCATACAGGGGCCACCAAGGGCTGACTGTGCTCATTTCCTGGAGCCTGTTTCTGGTCATCACATCCGGAAAGGAAGCTCCTTAGATGGATGTGTCAAGCGTGTGTGGGCCTAGCTGAGAGTGACACATGAGGATGTCTTATGCTGCTCCCTCCACATGCACACACATCTACACACTCACACTCACACTCACACTGTGGGGCCAGCCCAGGGCAATCCTGATTGTCTCTGAGCTGTGTGGAGAAAAGTCACCCTCACCCTGTAGCTTGCCCCGGCTGGGTCTTCTGGGGTCCTTTTGCTGGGCAGATGGCATCTAATGCTCTGCCTCAGGCTTCACCAAATACACCCACCACTAGGGACAATTTCTTTCTTTCTTTTTTTTTTTTTTTTTTTTGCGGAACCGGGGATTGAACTCAGGCCCTTGCGCTTGCCAGGGAAGCGCTTATTCCACTGAGCCACCTCCCCCGCCCCTACTAGGGACAATTTCTGACCATGAATACAGTCTCGCTTTAAATGCCAGATACTAGGGGCAGCTATTTCGGGGTCACTTCCAGCCAGGCCCCTCCCATTTGCCTCTCACATGGGGCCTGACCTATCACAGGTCAGTCTTGTGGCTTGCTGAGCCAGTGGGCATCTGCCTCCCCACATTCTGTGTGTCCCTGGAGTCCCTCAAGCCCTGACTGTAGGTAGCCTCCTCCTGAGCCTCCACGCCTCTCTGTCAGATGGCGCAGGACTCTTCTGGCTAGAATCTACCTCTGGCCTCACCCCTGCTCAGGGCTTCTGGATGAAGGTGGCCCCAAGAGGCAGGACACAGCCTCAGCACCATCCCATCTGTGTGAGGTCCTAAAGCCCTTGGATGGTGCAGACAGGGAGGCAGAGCACCCCCCACTACTGCCAGAGGCACCATGCTTTCCTCTCTGGCACCCAGAAGCATCTCCCCAGGTCAGGGTGAGCAGAGAGCACATGCTCCCAAGAAGGACCCCAGAAACACACCAAGAAAGATTGAGAAGGCAGGCAGAGACTCCTGGCAGACGCACGCAGAGACAGGGCTCCACAGTTAGATAAAACTTCCCTCAGGTTACAGACAAAATCCACACACAGCCACGGTCACATCCATGCCCTAAATTCTAACATACACTTCCTTTGGATATCACACTGGCTTCTGATATACTCAGAGCCATATCTGGTGTAAAAGTGTGTGCATCTGGAGTGGGGGAAGTTTTCTGTATTTCTTTCCCCAGCCCCACAGCTGTTTTATCAGGTTGAGCAGCCCCGGAGCCCTGAAGCGATCTGGTCAGGTGAATGGGCCTGGGCAGTAGTCAAGGTCAGGTAACAGCTTAAGGCCAAAGTCCTGCTTAGTTTAGGGTTTTGGCTTCACTCATTAGCAGAAAGCCACCTCTGCTGGGACCTGTGCACAGTGCCCAGGGCAGCCCCAGCCGGCAGCTTGCTGAGAGCTCACCATTGTTCCAGCGGTCCTCAGGCAGCATGCTGCAGGGTGCAGTGACAAGAAGGGATACCAGTAAGCCTCCCTGTAGACAGGACCTCCTCCTCCCACACAGGCTGCCCTGGGCATCCCTGTAGCAGGGTCCCTGGGCCCCTGACCCAGGTTGTCCTGAGAGGTAGAAAGTCCAGGAAGCAGGGGACAAGGTCTGCAGGTTCCCACAGCACCATATAAATAGACACCACTTCTCTGAAAACCAAGTGCTTTATTCAGAACCTCCCGCCAGGTCATAGAAAAGGTCCAAACCACGTGGTTTGTACAAGGCAAAGGCTAAAGGACTGCAGGATGTCCCTTACCACTGGGGCCCTCAGCCCTGAGGTCCCAGGCTTCCCTGGTCATTGTAGTTTTTAGCTGAGCTCGGGGAGGAGCAAGTTCTCACACCTCCCTTGGCCAAGGAGTGAGGAAGTGGGCATGGGACAACGGCCAAGGCCAGCGTCCCCCACCCAGAGCTGCTACACCCCACAGCCACGGTTCCCGACATCCTCAGAGCTCTGTTGCCCTGTGCACATCTCAGCTCTGGATGCCGAGCCTTGGAAGAAAGTTGGTCCTGCACACAGGAGAGTGGGCAGGGCGGGGCTTCCTTGCCAGCGAGCCCTGCTCCTCACTCAGTACAGGTCCGCGAAGGGCTTGGAGTAGTTGAACATCAGGTAGTCCATGTAGTAGAAGTCATAAGTGCGCTGGCGCTGCAGGGCCGAAAGCTGCGCGAAGTACTGATGGGTAATTCTCGAGGTCGTGCGCGCCTCCTGCGAATGCCGGTCTTTGAACTGCGGGAAAGTCAGGTTGTGCGGTGCTCGGATGAGGCTCAGGAAGAAGTTGGCGTCGTCCTCCATGCTCTCGAACTTGCCCACAAAGTCATAGTCGATGAGGCAGGGGCTACACAGCCGGCTGACGTGGTCCCAGTGGATGTCCATGCCCACAGGCCGGTGCACATCCAGCAGGTACTGGACGAACTCGGGGAAGCGCACACCAGAACCCGTCCGCAGCGCCTCCCGAGAGGCGTTCGCCCGGTACCGGGCCAGGATGGCCTTGCCAAAGACGGGGTGATAGTAGCTGTTCGGGTGCTCGAACTTGTCCCGGAAAGCCGAGACCAGCCTCTCAAAGGGTTCACGCACGAAGAGCATCTTGGTGTAGGTGCCCAGGCGGTGCAGGATGCCCTGGCGGTCGAAGGTGTCCAGCCGCTTGAGGGAGCTGCCGTAGTGAACCGTGTTGTGCTGGATGTCCGCGGTGGACGAGGCCAGCCCAGCCAGCACCATAAGCACCCGCTTCCAGTTGGAGCAGCCTGCCTTAGGCACCTCGCAGTACAGCACGCGGTGGCGGTCCTCCACAAAGATGCGCGACACGTGGCGGGGTGTGACGGGCCTGCGGCTGCTGCTCGCCCTGTACTTAGCGCAGGCCTCCCGCATCACTCGCTTGCGCTCCTGCTGACTCTGGTGCAGGCTGACCCAGTGGCTTTCCAGGGCCTGGGGTCCTGGGCGGAGAAGCGTTTCGGAGGAGCTGTTGGTCACGACTGCCACTGCAGCTGGCATCTTTTTGATTAGCAGTCGCCGCCGTCGCTGCCGCAGTCGCAGACGGGCCCCACTCTTTGGATGGAGTTGAGGCTGGTCAGGGACCTGCAGTTTGAGGTCTCTTGGGGCCCAGCTGGACAGATCTTGTGTGGCTTTCTCTGTGGACACTTTCGAGTCACCATCATGGGAACTACCTGCTTGGAGGTCCTGGGATAATAAGGGAGATAGTTACCAAGGTGGATGAGGCAGCTGGGCACAGAGGCCTGACAAGTCAGACTGTTGCCAGGACTGGGGTTTCTGCCCTCTCTGCAGCCTGAGATTTCCTGGGAAAGGCAGGTGTGGCCCCTCTAGTCTGAGTCTTGGTCCAGATCCAGCATAATCTGGCCACCAGTGTGAGGCTTGATTTTTTTCTTTTTCTTTTTTTTTCTTTCTTGCTTCCTTCCTTCCTTTCTTTTTTTTTTGATACCAGGAATAGAACTCAGGACCTTGCACTTGCCAGGCAGGCTGAGCTATACAGATGAACAGCGTAAGTGCTTGCCTGCCTGGCAAGCACAAGGTACTCAGTTCTATTCCTGGTACCAAAAGAAAAGAAAAAAAGTAATCTATCGCTAGCCCCCAGTGTGGGGCTTGAGGTGGAAGTGCTATCTCAGCCACAAGATGGTGTGCTCCTCCCAGGAACCTGGCCAGGGTGGGCAGTGTGAGCCAGTGGCCTGCAGGAGGCTGGCTCAGATTTACTGTGTCAATTAGCTCAGACCAAAGGAGCCATCTAATAGCAAAGGGAAATTCATAGATTCAAAGCTCTGGGCTTTGCTCCCAAGGCTCCTGGAAAGGACTGGACACATTTTTCTTTTTAAGGATAGAGTCAACATAAGCTCCAAATTTTCTTTCCTGTCCTCCTCAACTTTCTTTAGGCTGTGTGTACTGTGCTGAGATTTATCTGACTCTCAGAACTTACCTTGCGGGGCTGCTGTGGCCTGATGTTGAACTTTATTCCTAGAAAGCAAACAGAGGAAAGGTCAGGATTGGCAGTGGAAGTTCTATGTGGCTCTCAGGGACCTGCTGACAGGCTCTTTCCCTGTGGATACCCAGAGTGGAGGGAGCTTGGGATAGGCTGTGTGGAAAGGCAATTTAGGGCCCTTTATTCCCTATCCAGTGGAAAATGAAGTTGCCACCAGGTTGTGGCTCCATCGACTCCCAGCTGGTGCAAATGTCTCTGCATCTCTGGTATGACCTGCAGGTCTGGATAGGCGTCCTGTCCAAGGGGACCCACACACCTGCCCAGCGCGAAAGTCAGGATTCTCAGACCATCCTTACCTCACACCACACTGCTGTTCAGTCCCACTGAAAGGACCCTTCGAAGGCTTTGTCCATCCTTTCCCTGCCACCCCATCAGCCACTCCCTGGTTCTAGTAAATGTGGATTTTCTATATTTGGACACGATACATTTGCCCCCAACTCCTTGAGGTGACTGTCTGGTTAGATAGAGGATACTGCTTCATACTTTGGTTTGTTGGGGAAGATGGGAGACTTCCCTTGGCAAGCTTATGCAGCAGCCTGAACCTCTTTTCTCAGTGCCTGCCTGGCCCACTGGGACATCAGGGGCTCTTTCTGCTCTAGTGGTGTGCAAATGGCCATTTGCATTCTGGGGCACTGCCAAGTAGCACAGTCACAATCAGAAACAACCACCTCTTAAAGAAGCTAGAACTTCCAGCGAGGCATGGAGGGACACTGTGCCAGCCACACCTGATTGAGTCCTGGCTGCTGCCCAGAGCAGGGAGGGGGCCATTCTCACTGTTTCTGTACTGGGCTGATGTCCAGTGGCTGGAGCCCAGCTGGCAAAGAACTTCAGGTCTTCCCTGACCCGAGCCTCCTCGATTCCTCCACAGGGTCCAGTTTTACAGAGACTGCAGTGCTATGACTTTGACCTCACGTTGGCCAATCTGAGGCTGTGCCTGCCCATCTCCTTCACTTGTTAGTAAGAAAGGAGGGAGGACAAAGGTCACCTCTGGGATGGAAATGTCCTACTCCCTGGGCTGCCAGGAACATTCTTGCTCATTCTGGGCTCAACCTTGTGACCCTCCTGTTCTAGTCTCCCAGAGTGCTGGGATTACAGATGTGCATTTCCACGCCAGGCTCTCTCCTCTGCTGATTCTTTTGGGCTGGGAGGAGGTGTGCCTTTCTCTGGGCAAAGGTCTGTGGACCTTCCTTTCTGAGGTGTGAGGTATGTGTGCCAAAAAGCTGGGAAACAAGTCTTCTAGTCTCTTCCAGAGGCTGAAAGGAAGCTCGGTGTGGCGCTGGAGTGAACAGATGTGCTTGCTCTGATAGGGTCCTTCTAGACTTAAGTCCTGCATCAGTGTCCCCCCTCATCACCCAAAACCTACTTCCCACCTCACCAGCTACCAGCTAATGCTTCTTCTTGTTCACATCCCCTCATCTCTGCAGGTGGCCCCAACATGACCTTCCAGGGCTCAGTTCTCTCCTGCATGTGAGGTTTTCGCCTGTATCCAATGATGACAGATCTCTTCAACAGAAGGGACCCGCTGCAGTCAGTCAGTTTTCCTCTATGCCACCAGGTTTCCTTAATTATTTTCTTCTGGTGGTGGCAGCTGGCTCTGCTAAATCACCTCTTCTCCTCAGAGTCTCAGATATGGGAATTTACTCTGCTTGTCATTCCTGTCAAATTGTCAAGGTGTGATGGCGCTTATTTATGTTCCCTTTCTGGAGCAAATGAGTCATGCTAGCTTTGGCCAAGAGTGGAGCTGAGGAGCCACTTCCACAGGCATCCTGCCAGGCAGGGAAGGGGATGAAGATGTCCTCGTCAACGTTGCAGCCCCTGTGGCTCTGGGTCCTGCTCTGTCTCAGCTGTGTGGGTGCTGTCTGCTGAACCTCTGGATTCTGAGTCTAAATGCTTTTCCAGCTGGCCCTTTTGGAGGTGGGCCAGTTTAGAAGAACCTTTGGCACAGGCTTGAGGGAATGTTCCCAGCAGGAATGAGTGGGTCTTCTGGCCTCTTGGCTGCATTTTCCCATAAAGCTAACCTGGCAGCAACCGGCTTCTCTGAAGAAGCATCTTGTAGATGGTGACAGGTAACTAGAACAGATCTTAGGTGGAGCCTGTGAGGAGGCCATAAGCACTAGGTTACCAGCCCTTAAACTTAGGCAAAGGTGAGCCCTGTCCTTACAGAGCCACTTTGAGATAAAGACAGAAACACGAAATGAAAAGCACTTTCCCCTCTGCCAAGGGCTCAGTGTCCCCTCTTTCCCTCAGGAAAAGCTGTTTTTCCCCCCATGCACTGCTCAGATAATGGTGGAACCAAAGGCAGTTCTAGGCAAACTGAAGCCACGGACCCTGGGTGTGCCGAGGCTTATGTCCACACATGCTGGAGTGGGCTGGGCTTCAGAACCGTGGACAGCGCCCCCGAGAGCCCAGCCTGTGCTGTACCCAAGCACCAGTACCAGTGCTGAGAATGATTGGGGAGTGAAGGGCTTTGCCCTCAGTAAACCACCGCCACCATCTCCCACAGCCCTGAGTAAACAGAAAATCTAGATAAAAACAGAGCTTGTGGAGCAACACAAGCCACAATCCCATCCTCCTCTCCATGCAGTGCCATGATGCTGCCATGGGTCCTACTGTCTTCCTACCCCACCCGGGGGACAGGAGAGTCCCAAGGTCAGCTGAGACTTGCTCCCCTTTCTGGGTCTGAGTCATCTGCCTCCTCCTCTATATCCAACGTTAAGAATCTGCAAGGTAGAGCCATCCCTTGCATGGGAAGAAATAAACAACCACTTTCTCTTTCTGGACAGATGACATTCGCAGGGTGGCTGGAACACAGACAACATGATAAGAGTAAGCGCTGGTGAGAATAAACAAGGCGTGAGTTATGGGGACTGCCAAATGCACTGCGCGCGCCGAACCCTTCATAGGCTGCAGCATTTTTTCTTGGTGTTTGGCTGAAAAGCTTCCTGGGTACCCGCTAAGGGGAGGTGAAGGCTGGTGCTGCTGTGCAAGGCCAGCTTCTTAATGAGCACTGTGCGCAGCAGAGGTCTGGGGGAGGGCAGCTGAGGGGGTCTCGCCGGAATATGTGCTACGGGGGAGAAGGGCACCTTGCCTGCTCCTCTTCAGAGACACAGGGACACTGCTAGGCCCCCCCGCAAAACCCCAATACTAAATACTCAGAGCTCAGTAGGGGTGGCAGGTTTTTTTTTTTTTTTCTTTTAGACAGGGTCTTACTATGTAGTTCAGGCTGGGCCTTGAACTCACAGAACTCCTCCTGCATCAGCCTCCTAAATGAAATGCTAGGATTACAGGCATGAGCGACCAGGCTCAGCAGGGTAGCAGTTTTGACTTAGGCTTTTGAATGGGCTGTGTAGGTATACGACAGGGATAAAAGAGTATCTTACTACCTCAAAAGGGGTCACAGTGTCTCCTGCACCTTTTACTGCTCCCAACCACAGTCCCAGGGGGATTTTACTTGGAAGGATGACAGCTGTTCTGACTGTTGAAATTCCAGTCCCAGACCCTGATGGGCAATAGTGAGAGATCCTGTCACACTAGATGCTATAGCCTGGGAGATACAGAGCTATCTGCAAGGCCTCAAACCCAGAGGGGCAGGTATTGGAGGGAACTGCAGGGCCAGGACAAGCTGTGTGTGGCGTGGTGTGGTGTAGTGTGGTATGGTGTGGTGTGGCATGTGTGTGCCAGCCCCAAGTGCCTTCCTGCATGCAGTTTGACTCCTGCTTCTTGGATCTCCTGAAGTTTCCTAATCAAGCTGCCTCCTTGGCCACTCTTCCATGCCCTGGATCTTGAGCTGGCTGAACTTCCACTGCTGGATGCATCACAGGTGCACTGCCCTTCACACAGCCACTTAAGGGGCTTTGTCTGCTTCCCTTGGCTCAGGCTGGCCTGGGACAGAGCAGACACTGAAGGCCAGGCCCTGGCTGCAGCCCCGTTCTCTCCCACACACGCACAACCCAGAGCCCAACTGGCCCTGGAGGTGGCAGCCTCTGCTCTTGAGTCTCCCCTGCTGTACTTGACATGAGCTTGAGGAAGGCCTCTGAGTCACTAGGCATCCCAGTTCAGGGCCAGAGCATGCAATCTCACAAATCAAGGTGAATAGAAAAGACAGCCAGGTGGACGTGCTGCCCACTGAGCTTAGGGATGAGCCCCAAGGGCACTGCAAGCCCCACTGCATAAGAAGTATGGAAGTTCTCTGAATGAGAAGTGTTTTCATTAGGGCTCTGTAGAAAAACACGATCAACAGGAGGTATATATGGAGAAGAAAGAGAGATTGAGGGAGAGTGGTGCAAGGAAGGAAGAATGGGGGAAGATAGAAAAAAAATGGAGATTTTAAGGGCCTGGCTCATACTACTATGACTGGCAGACTAAAGTCTGCAGGTTGGGCCAGCAAACAGGAGAACCAGAGAAATGATATTGTAGCTCAAGTCTGGAAGGAGTTTAGAGACAGAATTTCTTCTACATCAGGAAAGCTTAGTCTTTTAAGGCCCTTAAGTGGTTGGGTAAGGCCCACTCACTTATGGAAGGTTATCTAGTGCCCTCATTGTCTACTGATTTGAATGCTAATCACATCTAAAAGTACCTTCTCATCACCACCGTATCCCATGGCCTAGCCAGGATGGTACATACAGGTGACTATCATGGAAGGCATCCGCTTCTACTGCAGCTACTGTGATGAAGCATCACAAGTGGTGCAGCTCAAAATAACCACCATGCATTCTGTCAGGATTTGATTACGAGATCTAGAAGTCAGGCTATAAACCTCACTCCCTTGAAGCTTCCAAGAGAGCATCCTTCCTGCCCATCCCAGCCCTGGGGGGCCCCAGGTGTTCCTTGGCTCACGGTAACACAAGTGCAACTTCGGTCTCTTCTTTGCATAGCTGTCATCCCTCCTGTGCACGGCTCTTCTCTTCCTATAACCGCACAAGTTATACAGAAATACAGCCACCCTAAGGACCTTCTTTTAGTTGATCAGATACCA